CCCCAAAACCCCAAAACCCCAAAACCCCGATTAAAATCTTTAAAATAAAATTATAGCAAAATGTAAGCTCTTAGAATCTTTGGGAGTGCGAATTCCAAATCTGTTTATTACTGAAGTTCATAAGATTCGTGACCCTCTAGCCTTAGAATTTATGCTTCAAGACTGTGTGAACCCTGCTAGCCAGAGATTGGCTGAGTTATGTTAAGAGCATGAGTTTATTGCTTGAGAGTTTAGATATATTTACTCCAGATTCCTGCTGAAAAGCCATAGATACAGTACTTATGACATATTCGGCTGGGAAAACTCAATTTTACTTAGAAAGTTATGCTCTTTAGGCAATTTTTACTAAAGTTAGTTTAGAAATGAGTGAAACCATAGTCATAGCTGCTGGAGGAGCAGGCACCAATATCTCGGCGAAGCTTTGGGAAAGTTTACAACAAGAACAAGAGGATAACCAGGCATCAGGTTCAGGTGAGGTTTGGAGAAAATCTCTCTAGGATACTGCCCACAGACTTTCTTCCATGAAACAAGTGAGGGTCTTTATCGTCCTCGATCAGTTATGGTCGATACAGGTATTTAAATGAAACTCATATCTCTAGACCCGATCGGGATTGATCAAGCTAAGGAATCACTCTCACGTCTTGATGCATTCGGTATACTCCCACAGTAACTTTTAGATGGTAAAAGCTTGGCTGAGATATAGATGCTTGCTTCATCTCCGGCTTTGAAAGCTCAGAGTGCCTCTTTCCAAAAGGTATTGTTTGAATTACCTATTTTTCATTTTATTTAGCAACTTATGAAATGAAGGACCATTATTATGATACATTATATGAGACCATTCAGAAGCAAATGGAGGCCTGAGACCGGACCCCAAGTCTATTTATTTTGAGCTCCTTATGAGGAGGAGCTGGATCTGGCATCTCAACAAATATAGTTGATGAGATGGACTTGGGAAAAGTCAATAAGATTGGTTACAATCTGGTAGTTCCAGATACTAACTTGGGAACCCTTATAGAGCCTTTCAACTGAATTTTTGGTCTTGCTTACAAAAGTAAAGAGACAATGTCGATAAATATTGACAATACTCAGTGTACAAAGATCCTGAACAAAATGGGAATTCTAGATCCTACATTTGATGAGATCAATAGTTTGATTAGTACAAACATATTACAGATTACTGGTACTTGTGCTATGATAATTTATAGCTCCTTTGAGATACAAAGATTCACAGATTTCCAGCTTTGAGGAGATAATTCATAACACTTGTAGCCACCTGGGTAGGTCAGAATTATATCTCTAGGAGTAAATAAGCTGACAACAAGTTTTGCCCCATTCGTGAGCCAGCTAGATGAGCCAATCAGCAGTTGAAGTATTGATGAGGTGTATAAATCATGATTTGGTAGTGAAAACAACTTAGCTTTGGCATCTCACGCCCATGATCCGATTTCAGTTCATACGAGTAAAACTCTAGAGTAACTATAGATTTCTTGGGTGATGTTAAATACCAGGAAGCTACAGGTAAAGCTGCTTTATAATGACATAGAGACTGTTCTTAACTATCACGACAAGCGTCAGCCAAACCCAGAGATAGCTACAAAGTACGGGCTGGCTACTTGCAAGCTCCCTCAGATAGCCTTTACCGATAAATTGGTCAATACTTTGATGAATAAGTGATAATTTCTCTTAATTTTAGGCATCAAAGCTGCTGCATGCTGGTCAACTCCAAGGCCATAGCTCAGATTATGGATAGAATCAATACTCAATGTTTAAAATTATATTCAAGGAGAGCAACATCCTTCTCCTTAGTAGGTGCAGGTCTTGAGGAAGGACAAATCACTGAAGCCTGGGAAATCCTTAAGGAATTGATCGATAAGTATTAGATCCCAAAGGTGTCACGGCTAATGGTTTACTTCCAACCTCTTCCTCATGGATGTATACCTCATAACTCTTCGTGTATGAGAGAGACTATCAGAATCTTACTCTCGCTTTTAAGGTTCTCCCTTTGGTCTTATTTAGCTGTGTTTTATTCTATTTTGAGGTCAAATTCCGGGGTTTTGGGGTTTTGGGGTTTTGGGGTTTTGGGG